TTCAAACCTGCAAATAAATACAAGGTGTTAATGAGATGCTGCAGGACATTTCTCCTGGGTTGAGGGTGGTAAGGAGGATTAAAACATAACTCTCTTCTCTCACGGTTTTAATGTATAGAAAATAGGCATAAGGTGGTGAATGTGGATTGAAGTCCCAGCTTTATTAATAGCAATAAATGCCCAATAACTGCCACAGGAAGGGCTGCAGTTGGAGCCTGGAGTTTTCTCTGTGAGGACATCATTAATTAAGGATTCAAATTCTCTGTAGTGAAAAAAAAAAAAAAAAAACCTCCCTGCAAACAAAAGTCCAGGACCAGATGGCTTCACTGGGGAAGTTTACCAAACATACAAAAAGGAACTTACACTGAATCTTCCCAAACACTTCCAAAAGACCGAGGAGGAGGGAATACTCCCAAAGTCATTCTATGAAGCCACCATCACCCTGATACCAAAGCCAGACAAAGACACTACCAAAAAAGAAAATTGCAGGCCAATATCTTTGATGAGCACAGATGCAAAAATTCTCCACAGAATATTAGCAAACCAAATCCGATAACACATAAATAAGATCATACACCACAATCAAGTTGGTTTCATCCCAGGGTCACAAGGATGGTTCAACATACACAAATCAGTCAATGTGATACACCATATCAACAAAAGAAAAAACAAAAACCACATGATCATCTCAATAGATGCAGAAAAAGCATTTGATAAAATTCAGCATCCATTTATGATAAAAACTCTTCCCAAAGTGGGTATAGAGGGAACATATCTCAACATAATAAATGCCATTTAAGACAAACCCACAGCCAATATAATACTCAACAGTGAAAAGCTGAAGCCTTCCCACTAAAATATGGAACAAGACAAGGATGCCCACTTTCACCTCTTCTATTCAACATAGTATTGGAAGTCCTAGCCACAACAATCAGAGAAGAAAAAAAAAAGGTATCCAAATTGTAAGGGAAGAAGTACAATTGTCATTATATGCAGATGATATGATATTATATATAGAAAACGCTAAAGATGCCACACTAAAGCTACTAGAACTGATCAATGAATTCAGCAAGGTAGCAGAGTACAAGATTATCATATAGAAATCTGTTGCATTTCTTTACACTAACAATGAAATATCAGAAAGGGAAAGTAAAAAAACCCTTTTAAAATTGCATCAAAAAATAAAATACTTAGGAAGAAACCTGACCAAAGAGGTGAAAGACTTATATGCTGAGAACTATAAAACATTGATAAAGGAAACTGAAATTGATTCAAAGAAATGAAAAGATATTCCATGCTCTTGGACTGCAAGAATTAATATTGTTAAAATGGCCATACTACCCAAAGCAATCAACAGATTTAATGTGATCCTTATCAAATTACCCATGACATTTTTCACAGAACTAGGACAAATAATCCTAAAATTTATATGGAACCATAAAAGATCCAGAATTGCCAAAGCAATCCTGAGGAAAAAGAACAAAGCTGGAGGCATAACCCTCTCAGACTTCAGATAATACTACAAAGCTACAGTAATCAAAACAGTGTGGTAGGGACTTCCCTGGTGGCGCAGTGGTTAAGAATCCGCCTGCCAATGCAGGGAACATGGGTTCAAGCCCTGGTCTGGGAAGATCACATGCCGTGGAGCAACTAAGCCCGTGCGCCACAACTACTGAGCCTGTGCTCTAGAGCCCACAAGCCACAACTACTGAAGCCCGTGTGCCTAGAGCCCATGCTCCACAACAAGAGAAACCACAATGAGAAGCCTGTGCACCACAAGGAAAAGCAGCCCTTGCTCACTGCAACTAGAGACAGTCTGCGTGAAGCAACGAAGACACAACACAGCCAAGAATAAAGAAATAAAATTTAGAAAACAAAAAGCAGTGTGGTATTGGCACAAAACCAGACACATGGATCAATGGAATAGAATAGAGAGCCCAGAAATAAACCGACAAACCTACGGTCAATTAATCTTTGACAAAGGAGACAAAAATATACAATGAAGAAAACACAGTCTCTTTAGCAAGTGGTCCTGGGAAAGCTGGACAGCTGCATGTAAATCAATGAAGTTAGAACACACCCTCTCATCATGCACAAAAATAAATTCAAAATGGCTTAAAGACTTAAATATAAGACATGACACCATAGAACTCCTAGAAGAAAACATAGGCAAAACATTCTCTGACATAAATCATACCAATGTTTTCTTAGGTCAATCTCCCAAGGCAACAGAAATAAAAGCAAAATGAAGTAAGTCAGACAGAGAAAGAGAAATATCATATGATATCGCTTACATGTGGAATCTAAAAAACGGGTACAAATGAACTTATTCACAAAACATAAGTAGAGTCACAGATGTAGAAAACAAACTTATGGTTACCAGGGGTAGAGGGAGGAGGGATAAATTGAGAGATTGAGATTGACATATACACGCTACTATATAAAAATAGATAACCAATAAGGACCTACCATATGGCACAGGGAACTCTACTCAATACTCTGTAATGGCCTGTACAGGAAACGAATCTTAAAAAAGAATGGATATATCAATATGTATATGTACAACTGATTCACTTTGCTGTACACCTGATATTAACAGAACATTGTAAATCAACTATACTCCAATAAAAAATTTTTTAAAAAGAAATAAAAGCAAAAATAAACAAATGGGACCTAATCAAAGCTATAAGCTTTTGGGATTTCCCTGGTGGTGCAGTGGATAAGACTCCACGCTCCCAGTGCAGGGGGCCTGGGTTCAATCCCTGGTCAGTGAACTAGATCCCACACGCATGCCACAACTAAGAGTTCACATGCCTCAACTAAGGAGCCCGTGAGCTGCAACTAAGGAGTCCATCTGTCTCAACTAAGGAGCCCAGGTGCCACAACTAAGGAGCCAGCAACCCACAACTAAGGAGCCCTGGAGCCGCAACTAAGGAGGCCACCTGCTGCAACTAAGACCTGGCACAACCAAATAAATAAATATTTTTTTTAAAAAGCCATAAGCTTTTGCACAGCCAAGGAAACCATAAGCAAAACAAAAAGACTACCTGCGAACTGGGAGAAAATATTTGCAAATGATGCAACCGACAAGGGCTTACTTCCCAAAATATACAAACAGCTCATACAACTCATAACAAAAAACAAACAACCCAATCGAAAAATGGGCAGGAGACCTAAATAGATATTTCTCCAAAGAAGACATACAGATGGCCAACAGGTGCATGAAAAGTCGCTCAACATCACTAATTATTAGAGAAATGCAAATTAAAACTACAATGAGGTACCACCTCACAGCAGTCAGAATGGCCATCATCAGATAGTCTACAAATAATAAGTGCTAGAGAAGGTGAGGAGAAAAGGGAACCCTCCTACACTGTTGGTGGCAATGTAAATTGGTGAAGTACCTATGGAAAACAGTGTGGAAGTTCCTTAAGAAACTAAAAATAGAGTTACCATATGATCCAGCAATCCCACTCCTGGGCATATATCCGGAAAAAACTATAACTTGAAAAGATACTTGCACCCCAATCTATTGAATACACAGCAGCACTATTTACAATAACCAAGACACGGAAGCAACCTAAATGTCCATTGACAGATGAATGGATAAAGATGATGTTGTTCATATATACAATGGAATATTACTCAGCCACAAAAAAGAATGAAATAATGCCATTTGCAGCAACATGGATAGAACTAGAGGTTATCATACTAAGTGAAGTAAGTCAAAAAGAGAAAGACAAATACCATATTATATCACTTATATGTGGAATCTAAAATATGACACAAATGAACTTATTTACGAAACAGAAACAGACTCAAAGACATAGAAAACAAACTTACGGTTACCAAAGGGGAAAGGGGGTGGGGGAGGGATAAAGTAGGAGTTTGGGATTAGCAGATAGAAACTACTGTACGTAAAATGGATAAATAACAAGGTCCTACCATATAGCACAGGGAACTATATCCAATATCCTATGATAAAACATAAGAGAGAAACAGACTAGAAAAGTTAAGCACACAATGAGAAAGAAAACCGGAAAAGGCAAAAGAATGAACATTTTAATGAAATTGTTTTATAAGGAATTAAGAAGGGAGTTGACTATTGATGAAAGTTATTTTCACTTTGGCAAAATGAAAATTATTAATATGTATACTTTAAAAAATAATGGAAAAGGATATATATATGTATATGTATGTATAACTGAATCACTTTGCTGTATACTAGAAACTAACACATTGTAACATTGTAAATCAACTACACTTCAATTAAAAAAAAAAGATTCAGATTCTTTAATAGTTATAGGATGATTTAGGCCTTCTATTGTTTTGTCGGTTTTGGTCATTTTTGTTTTTCTAGGACTTTGTCCGTTTTACCTAAATTTTCAAATATATTTTCAAACAAAAGTTGTTCAACTGTCCATTGAATCTATCACTAAGTCCTCCCTTCTATCAAACCCTCAGAATCACGCTGTGCGGTCACTGCATGTACTCTTTTTAAATTAAAAAAAATTTTTTTTTATTTACTTATTTTGGGCTGCGTTGGGTCTCTGTTGCTGTGCGCAGGCTTTCTATAGTTGCGGTGAGCGGGCTTCTCATCGCGGTGGCTTCTCTTGTTGCGGAGCACGGCTCTAAGCGTGCGGGCTTCAGTAGTTGTGGCTCATGGCCGCTAGAGCACAGGCTCAGTATTTGTGGCGCACGGGCTTAGCTGCTCCGTGGCATGTGGGATCTTCCCGGACCAGGGCACGAACCTGTGTCCCCTGCGTTGGCAGGTGGATTCTTAACCACTGCGTCACCAGGGAAGTCCCCACCGCGTGTACTCTTGTCCAGGGGTCACAGAGGTAGCGTTTTTGCCTCCACTGCAATAACCTGTGAGTAAACCTGAGCCACACTTTCCTAGACCGCCCCCCCACACCTCCCCACCTCCCCCCACCCCACCCCCTGCCACCAGAGCCGTGAAGGCACTCTGAGCATTAGCAAGTTACAACTACTGCCTGTAACTCACCCAGAAAGTTCAAGAGAAAGCCACATTCCCTCCCAGGCTTGGCTCCAGAAGACAGCTCCAGTGTGCCCCTGATGGTAAGAGTTTGGGGTCAACCTAGCCATCTCCCCTCCCACCTTGCAGTAACTGCTTCAGCTTCCTCTGTCCTCACTGACTTCCCCAGCTGAGCAGGGGATATCAGTGACCTCACTCTGGCAACAGTCGTTCATGTCCCACTCCCATCTCTGTGGCTTGTTCATTTCCCCACTGAGGACAAGCAGCATCTAGCAGGTTGGTGTAAAGGGCTGGGACCTGGGGATAAAAGAGGAGCTTACGGGGCAGTGAGGGTTATCTGTTTATCTTACAGTGACCTCATGTGTGCTTATGCTAACGTGAGAAACACACGGGTGTAACCTCAGCAATGGCTTCAGGGAGGTGCCCGTTTGGGATGCACCTTGCCATTCACCTTTCCCAAGTGGAGCCCCCTTCCTTCCTGACATTTTCTGGACTGTCCCCCCACCACCTCCCCACTTCAGAGAAACCATAAAGGGTGGGATTGCTGGGTGATGCTCCCGAACCCTTGCCTCCTGGGGGGTCCCTGGCTTGCAGCCCTCACCCTCCATCTGTCCCCTCAGTTGGGTCCTTCCTGCTACCCCGCAACCCCCTGCCCCAGAAAAGCAGCCATTCCTGAGCTCTGCCTCTCTCCAAGGGTGGCTGCCCTGAGGGCCCTGGCAGCATTGTCCTCCATCTGGCCAACCAGCTGAGGAGAGCAGAGGACACGAGCAGCTGCCGGGAGTCTTGGGGTCAAAGGTCCTACAGACTCGCTCAGGAACTGGCTACTCAGGCAGCACAGGAAACTGATGTTTTGAGGGATGAGTCAGTGCCCAGCTGGGCCCTGAAGGGGTTAAAGGAACACGGTGGAAGATTGCAGAATGGAGGCACATGGTGCTGCTGGAAAAAAGCTAGCCTTGTGCGTGGATAATTAGAACTGCACATCAGTAAACAATGCCTTTTCCCCTCATTAAGGACAAATCTGTATGTATAATGTGCCTATTTTCTCTTTCATTAACTTATAAATGGCCACTACTTTAAAGCCACTTAACCAGCAGTTTTGACTTGCCCATCAGCCCGGGGATCTGATGTGTCTCGTCTCCTACACAGGCAGAGGCGCCCACTTCAGCACCCAGCTCCCATGGGGGGAGAGGCTGTGGGAGCGCTCCTGTGAGATGCCACAGGCAGAGCTGCAGCAGCTTCCAGAAGGGAGTGGAGAGAGGGTGTGAGGGCAGACCCCAGGCCCAGGCCACCGCCCACCCATCCCCTCCCCCACCACGCCCCTCTGATGACTCACTCTCATTCTCTAAATTGCTTTGTCTGACCTTGAGTAGCTTGAGAACCCTGACTCTTGGGAGCCCCTGAGAATGTGGCCAATCTTCAAGCGCTCCTTAGGACGCCCAGCAACAAGCTGGGACCAGAAATCCCAGTGATGAGATATCAGTTCTGCCCTCATGAAACTCACAGTCCTGTAGAGAGAGCAAGCAGAATGTACATGTTAAGGAAGGGACGCTGTAAGAAAGGTTCACACAAAATGGAAATCTTCAATGAAAGTCAGGAAGGCGCCCCAGATGTATGTCTCCTCCATCAATCTGGAAACTTCCCTGGGAACTGATAACATCTCTCCCTCATCAGGCAAGGAGCTTCAGGGGATACTGACCATGTCCTTCCCATCACACTAGGAGATCCCCTGGAGGCAGAGACGCTCTCTCCCATCAGACAGGAGATTCTACAATTAGGAACTATTGCCTCATTAGATTAAAAACTCCCACAAGTGAGGGATCAGTCCAAGGGTAGGGCGCTGTCTCCCCATCTTTCTCTGGGTAGCCTCCCAGGACCCTGAATAAAGGCAGCCTCTTTACATCACTCCCTCTCTCCTGGGGCCCCAAAGTGTGCTCCAAACCTACACCAGGACTTGAGAGGGGCAGGGACAATGCCAAAGTGGGAGATGATACAATCTTTGTCCTCAGAAGCATCGACTAGCTTTTCAGTTTTGCGGTGACACTAGTCCACACAAAGCGACAGTGAGACAAGGGAAAGGGGACTGAAGTGACCACTCATGGAGCACCCTCGTGGAGGGGACGGGGGCATGTACGTGACCCGTTCTGTGATCCCACAGAAGAGCTCACAAGCCCAGGACGTGAATACTATTCTCCCCATCCCACAGATGAAGCACTGGAGACCCAGAGAGGGAAAGAGATTCACTCAAGGTCACACGGTCTGTCAGTGGCAGAACTGGGAATCGAACAGTCTCTGGCTCTTTCCACCATAGCCAAGAGTCACTCCATGTGAGTGCAAGAGCCTTATGAGCAGTAGAGGCAAGAGGAGAAGAGGAAGAGCAGTGAGACTGGAGGTACCAGGCCTGGGGACAGGAGCTTCTGCTGGACCTCAACTGCGGGAACAGCTTGGAGAGGCCAAGGGCATTCTGAGAGCCTTTCATGGTGAAGCTGGGTACAGCCCCATCTCTGAAGCCCTGTACCATCCCTGAACAGGGCAAATGGAGGAGCCTCAGTCCTGGTGAGGGACCTTACTCATAAATCCAGTCATTCCTCAAAAACGCCATCTCCTGAGAATATTTTTAGACTGACTTCTGTTGGACGCTGGGTGGTTCTGCTATTGGGACAGTATCACCGTAGCCATCAGCAGCAGCATGGTTAGTCATTCTAAAGAACTGGAAACAACCCAAATATCCATCCACAACAGAGTGGAAAAATTCACATGTGGAATGCTTGACAGCAGCTAAAAGGAATGAAGCAGACCCACGTGGGCTTGACATGGCCAGATCTCTAAGACATATATTGTTGAATGAGAAAAAACAACTTTCATGTTGATATATTTAGTGTGATACCACTTATGTAAAAAGAGAAGTCTCAAAACAAGGTGCTTTCAGTGGCTACATATTATACTAAAAGGGTCTGTAAAATACATCAAACTGGTAACAGTGGTTACCCCTGATTAGGGGTGGCTGTAACCAGGATGGGAGGTGATCAAAGGGGACTTTGGTCACCCTATGCAGGGTGACCGCTTGCCCAGGTTTGCCCAGAACGGCCTCTGTTTTCTCTGTTGCTGCTGTAACTAATAACAGCACTGCCTTTCACTCTCAAAAGTGTTCAGACTGGGTGATAAGTTACTTAATTACCATACTTATCTGTAGGGTTTAATTTTTTACAAAAAGAATATATTAAGTGATCACTTGTGTCATTTCTAGCAGTGTATTGAGAGAAGGTAAAGTCTTCCTCTCCTTCTCCAGGGCCCCAGTCCCACTCCTCAGAGGTAACACACTGTTAACAGTTCTAACATCCTTCTCGAAACTGTAACTCTAGGGACTTCCCTGGTGGCGCAGTGGTTAAGAATCCGCCTGCCAACGCAGGGGACACGGGTTCGATCCCTAGTCCGGGAAGATCCCACATGCCGCGGAGCAACTAAGCCCGTGTGCCACAACTACCGAGCCTGCACTCCAGAGACTGTGAGCTACAACTACTGAAGCAAGCCACCACAATGAGAAGCCCGCACACCGCAATGAAGAGTAGCTCCCACTTGCCACAACTAGAGACAGCCCACGCGCAGCAACAAAGACCCAATGCAGCCAAAAAACAAACAAACAAAAAGAAACGGTAACTCTGTATGTAACCATGCAACCTTAAAACACAGAGAAAAAGACATGGAATAATGCAGCACACCCTGTTTTGAAACTTGCTTTTCTCACTTAATTTTGTCTATATCTGGGTATCAGGAAAACCTAACATAGATCCTTGGGTCCTATCAACAGAGATTCAGTTTCTGTGGGTTGGCAGTGGGGCCCACAGATGTGTATTTCTGACGAGTTTTCTGGGTGATTTTGATGCCAGTGGTCCATGGACTCCATGCTAACCTTTGTCCATAAAACAATCATTCATCCATTTATTTAATAAACAATCATGGACCCTTGCTCTGGGTTTGGCCCTGGCTAAGCCTGGAATTCAGCAGAGAACATAACGCCGTCCCTGCCCTCCAGGGCACAGCCTCAGGTCTACTTCCAGCGGGACCAGTCATCTCTGACAGTGGGTTGAACGGGCTATGAGCATGGGCACTGGGGTCAGACAAGCCTAATCCTGGCACTTCCTCTTTCTGACCATCTGACCTTGGGAAAAGTACTTAGCCACTCTCTGCCTCAGTTACCTGGTTTTTAAGTGGACATCAAAATCCCCACGTCACATCATGGGCACTCAATAAGTTGCAGCTACTCTCATTAATAATTAATTATAAAGAACATATACATAATAATAAAACTCCTATAGCATTCTTGCCAAGAATGTTTAAACTAAATTCAATCATGGGGAAATAATCTGACAATCTGAACTCAGAGATATTCTAGAAAACCTGACTATATGCTCCAAAAATGTGTGTCATGAAAGACAAAAAAAAAAAAGAGAGAGAGAGAGAGAACCTATTCTAGATTAGAGAAGACGAAAGAGACATACAACTAAATGCAAAGTGTGTTCCAGGCTTTCATATATATATATATATATATATATATACACATATACACACACACACACACACACACACACACATATATATATGTATACATAATATCATTGGGATATATATTATATATTTATATATGTATCATTGGGATAAGTGGGAGATATGAATATCAACTGTATATTATATAATGATATTGTAGCAATGTTAAATTTCTTTATTGTAATAACTGCAGTATGTAAATGTTCTCCTTCTTAGGATGTGTGCTGAAATATTTAGGGATAAAGTGTCATGATGTCTGCCAATAACTCTCAAATGGTTCAGAAAATTGTGTGTGTAGGGATGGGAGGAGAAAAAAGAGAGACAGAAAGGGAGACAGAAAGACAGAGAGAGAATATGTTGCAAAATGTTAACAACTGGTATATCTAGGTGAGTATATGGGTGCTCCTATTCTATTATTTCCATTTACTTTGTAGATTTAAATTTTTCCAAAATAAAAAATTTGGGAAAATGAAATCTAATGGTTTTAGAAAATAATATTCAGGATAGTGGCTGACTGGCGAAGGGGGGAGTGACGGGGAGGGAAGTGTGGCTGGCAGCTTCCTGACTTTGGTGGATGTCCTATATCTTGAACTGAGTGTGTTCATTTTTGGAGGATTCATTGAGCTGAGCACCTATGATTTCTCCTCTTTTTGTGTGTAGGCTACATGCCAAGAAATAATTTTATTTAGAATCATCATCATAATAAAGCATCCTTCCCAGCATCCTATCCTCTGATCTGGTTCTGTAAATGCAAGATGGGTCCAGGCGGGAGGGAAGGCTGGGGCGGGGCCATCCTTCCCTGACAGTGTGTCTCATCCGAGAGGAGGGACAGCAGGGCCTGAGTCTGATGACAGCCTGCCTCTCAGTCTGACCCCATGGGGAGGAGGCCGGCTGCTTTCGGAGGTGCCCCAGCCTGCGCCTCTGAGCCGTGCCCACTCCTGCTGCCAGCCCCTGCAGCAGGAGGTTGGCCTTGACTCCACAATTCTCAGGCCCCAGCGTTCTGCTCTCTTGTCAGCCTCGTGGGCCCAGATGGATGTGGGCTCAATGAAGCATCTCATCTTGTGTGAGAAGGAAGTCCAGGGGTCACATTTTCCTCTCCTTGCATTGTTCCCCCATGTACTGATCTCATCTGCTTCACTAGCTGGAGACAGAAATGTAGTCATGTCTCTGTGTTTTACAGATTAATCGCTGGAGTCCTCATCAGCCTAAACTAACAGGAACAGTAACAATGGCTAACACTTACACAGTGCTTACTACATGCCAGATCCTGCTCTGAGTACTTTATGTATATAACTCATTTAATCTTACAACAGCTCTCTGAGGCAGGGTTGTTTTAAATCCATTTTACAGATGGGGAAATTGTGGCATAGAGAAGTAATTTGCCCAAGCAGGACTGACTGCATAATTGGCACGGCCAAGTGAAAAATGAAAATAGAGGAGTGGAAGGGGGTCCTTCTTCAAAAATAACTTATTATGAAAAAAGAATGAAATAATGCCATTTGCAGCAACATGGACGGACCTAGAGATTGTCACACTAAGTGAAGTATGCCAGACAAAGACAAATATATGATATCGCTTATACATGAAATCTAAAAAAACAATGATACATATGAACTTAGTTACAAAACAGAAATAGACCCACAGATGTAGAAAACAAACTTATGGTTACAAAAAGGGAGGGGGGAGAGATAAATTAGGAGTCTGGGATTAACATATACACACTACTATATATAAAATAGATAACCAACGTGGACCTACTGTCAAGCACAGGGAACTCTACTCAATATTTTGTAATAACCTATAAGGGAAAAGAATCTGAAAAAGAATAGATAGATATGTATGTATAACTGAATCACTGTGCCATACACCTGAAACTAACACAACATTGTATTATAAATCAACTATACCTCAGTTAAAAAAATAAAATAAAATATGGCTGACACATTTTTAAAAATTATTAAGACTTTCAAGACAGCAAGCATTAAGCCCAGCATGGTGCCCGTTTAATTAAGGCAGGCTCCAGTGAGGCTGTACAGGTCTGCAGCCCATGAGGTCAGGCCAGGGAAGTAGCAGAGCAGAAACTGGAACCCGAGCAGTCTGACGCCAGAGTCCATCCTCCTATTCACGGTGCGGTACAACCCTCTACCCTCAGGATCTTCCTCCGCTCACCTTCCCCAAGGTGCCCAAGAACTGGAACCACTACTCAGTGCATCGGGATCTGTCCTGGCTCTAAAAGCCAGGTGGAGACAGAATTGAACAGTCTAATCAGCCCGCTGCCACAAGGGGTCGCTGTTGAAAACTGGTCCTGCGCAGTTTGCTGCCTCCACGTCCAGAGCTCAGTGCTGCCCTTGCTGAGCCAACCCTGGAGGTGCACAGCAGCGCCCCACACTTGGGCTCCAGGCTTCAACTCTTTTATTTCACACACTTACATGCAGCCACTGCTCCCACAGCACAACCTCTACCAGAGTGCTTGGAGGTCTCTGCCACGCCAGTTGCCGGCTGGGCACCAGCCTCACTAACAAGTATCTAGGCCTGATATTAGCTTGGTTCACCTATTCAGCGTCCCTGTTTCCTGATGATGAGGTTCCCCTGTGGCATTTCTTCTACCCTTTCTTGCCAAAGGGTCTCAGAGAGGCCCAACTCAGTATATCAGAAAGGCTCTAGTAGTCTTAAACCCCAAAAGGGAAGGGTCAGTCAGGGTCTTGACCTCAGTCCTCCCATATGCAAATATCCTGCCTCTATGATCAGCCCTGCAAAACCTTCTCAGAATCACATAATTCCTTTTTGCACCCTTTTCCCAGAGCAATGTATTTGCCTACTTAACATAAGCACTGCATAACTAAGAGAAGAGGGATTATTCTTTTGCCAGAAAATCTAGTTTTGCCTTCCTAGGCACACCATTACACAGGATTTAACATGTCTGGCACATCAATGTCACACCCAGATACTTTCTTAATAACATAAGTGTCTAAAAAGGGTTGACGAATGAGACTTTAGAAGATGAAGGATTGGAGGAGGGAGCAGAGCTGGTGGCATGTGGGTATTATAACCTCACTGGCTGATGAGGCCAGCAATGTCTGGATTACTCTGGTACCGTGGGCATCTGTGCAGTCAAGCTGGCACCATCTAGAGTTCCCCTCTGTATCAGTTAGAAGCGTATTCAGTTGCAGCTAACAGAATACCAACCAACAGTGGACTAAACAAATGGAGATTTATTATTTTCACCTGACAGAAATCTGGAGGTAGGCAAGTTGGTTTGTCAGCTCATGGCCGGTGTGTGTCATTACAATTCTCTTGGTCTTTCCCTCATAGAAGCTGATGGCTGCTGCAGCTCCAGCCTTCAAGTCTGCATTCAAGGCAAAAAGAAGAAAGGGCAAGAAGGGCCAGCACCAGCAGCATCCAACGCCCTTTATCAAGAAAGGAAAAGCCTTCCTAAGAGCCCCCAGCAGGTTTCAGCTTATGCCCCATTGGTCTAAACTGTGTCCCATGCCTTTCCTGGCTGCAAGTGAGTTTGGGAAAGTGAGCCTTTACGTTGCAGCAAAGAGGATGATGCCACACCCTTCCCCCTACAGGCACCCTAGGTGGCACAGGACCCCAGGGCCCCTTCCCAACAACCTCAGATTCTTTCCAGAGGAGCTCCTGCATCCTGTGGCCCTCATAATGCCCCAGGCAAGAAGGGCCCACCCAATGAGCCGGGATTCCCCTGAGCAGGAGGCCGGCTGACTTCAGCCTTTTCCTTGGTGATTCATGGTGCTCTGCCAGCTGGGGGAGGCGACTAATTAGCTGTAGACTGATTAAGAACAAGGCAGGCAAAGCCCCAGACGTGATAAATATGAACTTTCCATCTTCCCCCTCCCGGCCGTTGCTGCCACCCACCACCAACAGCAGAAGGCAGGCCCGCGGCACCCCTCACAGTGCACCTGGCTGGGAGGCCAGCAGACGTCGTCCAGGCCACCACTCACACTGCCCGGCGCCAACCAGGGCATCATGGCAGGGACAAGCACAATGGGTTTTCCTTCAGGGCTTCTCCTCTCCTCCAGCCTCTCCCAACCTTCTTGCTCTCGACCAGGTATGGTACCAGGCCCGGATTTCTAAACCAGCCTCTGCCCTAAAGAATCTACAGCTGAGGGCTGTAGAAATGCAGAAAGGGGTGAGTTCCGTATGACCTGGAGTTGCTGGCCAGGGCTCCATGGCGGTGCTTTGGGTGGCTTTTCTGAGTAGAGCGGTGGTCCTGGAGAAAGGGGAGGACTCATGCACAGGAGTGGAGGCAAAATGAGCAGAATATGCTCCTGGGGCAGTGAGGAGTCTGGAGACAGGCCTGGAGAGGGGCAAAGCCAGGGGCAGGATGGAGATGAGGACGAAGAGGAAGCAAGAGTTTAGATCTGAAGCCCAGCTGCTTCCAGCCTCAGCTCCTCCACAATAGGTGGCCTTCACATGCATGAGACCCCATGGGGGGTTCAGGGGGATCTCCGCCCCCAGCTCCAGCTGTGACACCTGGCCTGTATCTCTCACTCCAGAAAGCACCTGTCAGGTGCAGGCAACCTTCATGCCACCAGGGCCTGGCCAAGCCACAGTGGAAAAGCTCTCTAACACATGAATCTTATACCAGATAAGGCTGTGATACGGACAAAGGATACATTTCACCAACAGATAACAAGAGAGATTTCAGTGAATGTGATTTCTCAAGTCGCCTCTGTTTTTCCATGAGGAGACCCCCTCAGGACGTGGCCAAGGTAAATGCCTATCTTAGGAGGCTGGGATGCACCCCACCCCCAGTCCACTCTGCCTGGCCCACTCTTACCCATCCCTTGGGTCTCAGCTCATGTCATTTCTTCGAGGGAGCTTCCCTGACCCCTCCTAGGTCACATTCTATGTATTTCCCTTCATCAATTGTAATACAGCTTATATTAATGCATTTAGGTGACTGTCTTTATTACTATAGACTCAATCAGCAAATATTAATTGAGCCACAAACTGTGCTAAGTTCTGGGGATACCATGAGACACAGACCCACCCGCATGGAGCTTACAGCCTAGGCATAAGTCCCAGCTTGTACCTAAGTGGGGATCCACCCTAACTGCAGAAGTAAGACCCCCCCAGTCCCAGTAAAACAATGGGACAACTCATGCCCATTCAACTCATGGCCTCAGGCCACCCCCAGAAGGACCTTCCTGTGTGGTTGCTCAGGTTGTCCATGACACAAGGGGACTGTAGTGGATGCTGCCCATATTTCTCCTTCAGAGCCAAAGCACTCGTTCCTCTAGCTGCTGGGAGTGTTGCCTGTTAATGGCTGGTAACCAAGTCCCCCTCCAGGACCTGTCCTCAGCCAAAGAGAGGCACATCAGTCCCAGAGTGATGTCTGCTCGTTTGAAATAACAAAGGCCTGCCCCCTTCCTTGCCTCAATCCAGGAGCTTCCCGTGCGGTTGTGGTCCAACTTTTCCCTCTACCCCATCCTACTTCCCTCACTCCCTCACTCAGGGGCTATTCCTGAGAACACTCCTCAGTAAGACGCCTGCACGCAAATCTCGAGTCTCAGAGTCTGTTCTCTGGGGAACCTGAGAAAGAAACACGTTGGGGCAAAAATCCACCCTCACATGTGCCTACATCTGTCCGGAGGGAAGGACTCCTTTTTTCTCATCGGTACGAAGATGCCCTTTTATGACTTAGCAGCAACCTGGCCCAGCCTGATAGCTGAACAAGGAGCGCAACCCAGTGCTGGAAGGTCTTGGCACAGACATGAGGAGGGAATCGGGCCTTGCAGCCAAGTGATTTAGGAGACGCCAGAGGAGAGTATATCTGTGGTAAGAAGCCCACCAGCTCCTGGAGGCTGATTCCAGCTGATTAAGAGGCACCCAGGGCTAGTATTTCTGCAAGACAGCTGGGAAATAAGCTGAGGGAAACTGTTAATCCGGGATTTCCAACAATGTGGAAGGTGGCAGCCCAGCCCCAAACATCCTAACTCAGGCCCAGTGTGTGGGAACTCGCCCAGGTGGGCGCAGGAGGAAGGCGGGAGAAGCAGGAAGGAATTAGACTTTGCACAAACTTTGTAATTGAAATCATTAATAGCAGTGAAACAAGTTGTCCATCCTACATGTAATTTGTAGTAATGTTTGGTTACTGAGATTAATTTCTAGTAATGAAATACTAATTAAACCATTTATTGAGCAATGTATTTGCTTGGTGGTGTTTTATGGGTGTTCGCTTATAAATATTTTAATTACTTTTGCTAAGTAATTAGCATTTACTAAATAATTTCCAAACTATTTATTAATTTCCAGCAATTCTCAGCCAACCAACAAGTTATTGTTTTACTTTATATCAGTAATTAAAGCCTGGGTTTTTTTTTTTTTTTTTTTAGACTTTGAGTGAAGAGAAAGAGTAATAAAGACAGTCTATTCTATCACAGGAGGTTGGGTGTATTAAAACAAAAAAAAGGGACATAAAAACGACTCATAACCCAACATTGCTCAAACACTGTTAATAAGATAAAGATATCTTTACAGACTTTCCTTATGGGCACATGTACTGTGTTTTTCAAAATTGAGATCATACCAAGTACATGATTTCTGGCCAGCAAACTTTGCCAATTTTTGTATCATACTTTCTATTCTATTAAAATGCTAAACCACTCTAGAGAGGTAAAGTCTCTTTAACAGTTAAAGAGACTTTCTGAAAGTAATATTTACTTTTTCTACCTCTATGCACCTACGATATGTCAGACACTATGCAAAGTAATTCACACATTATTGGTAGTAATAAACTACTCTGGCAGTAGTCTGTGTAAAACAGGGCTACCCACATGATACAGGCTTAGCATGAAGTCATTCATCTTCAATAAAATGGTCTGGGAGGAAAAAAAATTACCAAAATAAATGAAATAGGGTCACAGTGAATGTAGTTCTGGGACCTGCTTTTCTTGCTTAAAATATAATAAACATCTTTCCATTTCAATAACTATGGAGGAGTAGCAGTGTCCTTTTTACTAGCTGCATAGCATTCTATATTCCCAGTCATTATTTACTGCCTAATTGCTGGATATTTTGGTTGTTTTTAGTGAACAAGCTTATAATGAATGTCAGTATACATAGATCATTGTGCACTTGTCACCTACTTCCTTAGAATATATTCCTAGAAGTGGAATTGCTGGGTCAAAGCGCAGGAACATTTTTAAGACTTTGGATTCATGCTGCTCACATGCTTTAAGAAAAATTGAACGAATTTATTCTCCCATCACTAGAGGTGAGAGACCTGTTTCCCTGCACTATATACAATTATTATTATTTTAAATCTCATGTCATTTGCTCTTGCTCCCTGTCTAAAGCAGGGGCAGCCCAGGAAAGCATCCTGAATCACAGAACTTCACAACCCACCACCCCATTGGCTCAGGAGAAACACAGTTGGCTCATGAAGACCTACATGCTATGTCTTCACAGCTTACGTAGCACCAAAATGTTTAAAATTATTCCCTACCGCACCATTCCCCTCTCCCCCAGCCTCTTCCTTTCCAGCCAGGACACCGCTTCTCTGAAGGCATCAGTAAAGGTGGCACAAAGGGCTTGGCTCCCTGCTGGCAGATGCCTGCCCCATGTGGCGTCAGAACAGGCACCTGTCTAGGCCTTCTCCCTTTATCTCTTGACAAAATATCGCCCCACCAGCATGTCACAGTGCCTAAAAATTCTACCATCAGTGGCGCACACTAAGGAGTTTTGTAAACATTCAGAGGTTAGCCTAGGTGACATTTTATGATCTGATAAGTTTTCCAGAGGCTCTCCCATCTCCTTTCCAATGCTCCTTTCTCACCTGCTGTGAAGTCACCTGGTGCCTCTGGCCGTCCCAAGTGCCCATCCTTAGCCCCCATACCCCTCCTTGGACAGGACCACCTTGAATAATGTTTTAGTACCTGTGAGAAGGTACCTTCTCCAAACAAACCAAAAAACCTTCTTAGAGGGAGGAGATATTTCAACAACTCTTTAAATAAAGAGAGGGAGGTAAATTCGGGACGGAAAGGTGAGAGTGAATTGAGAGATGGCTTGATGTGGAGATAGAAGGGGGGGGTCATTGACGTTGCCCCCTCCCAAATGAAAACCACAAAACAGAGCACACAGCTGGAGTTTGCTGTTTCTCCAAAGAATGAGAATTCCCACAAGTACGTTCCTATGGTACCACCGTGAGTTATTTTCCTCTTTTCTTTGCATCCATTTCCTCTCTCTCCCTAGAGCATGTAGTGTCTCAGGCACTTCTCCAGGCCCTCAAAAGTGGCTCAGAAGAGTGGAGGAGGAGGTGTGAGAGCCCCCAGCATTGGCTGAACATTGGAATCACCTGAGGCTCTTTAAAAAATACTGATTAATATCTGTACCCCACCTTAAAAGTTCTGATGGGGCTTCCCTGGTGGCACAGTGGTTGAGAGTCTGCCTGCCGATGCAGGGGACATGGGTTTGTGCCCCGGTCTGGGAGGATCCCACATGCCGTGGAGTGGCTGGGCCCGTGAGCCATGGCCGCTGAGCCTGCGCATCCGGAGCCTGTGCTCCGCAACGGGAGAGGCCGCAACAGGGAGAGGCCCGCATACCGCAAAAAAAAAAAAAAAAAAAAAAGTTCTGATGTAATTGGCCTGGTTTGACTTGGGCCTCAGAATTTTAAAAATATCACAGGTTATTCCAATATGCCACCAAGGCTGAGAACTACAGGTGTAGAGTCTGGACTTCATCTACTAGCCAGCAGAGCCTATTGAGGATTTGTAAATGACAAAACACAGTGGAAAACAACACTAACTGGAAAGATGACCACATCAAGTAAAAATAATAAGAGCAAATAACAATACAGCATATTTTGGATTCCAGGCACTTTTCTTAGATATATATTATATTATATACTTTTAAAGTATATATGATGTAAGAAATGCTAAGAAGCCCAGACAGGATAAATACAAAGAAAACCATACCCACACTTCTGGCACATCAGAGTAAAACTGTCAAAAGACAAAGGCAAAGAAAAACCTTAAAAAACAGAGAAAAAAAGGAATACTACCTTCAAAGTAGTAATAATAACAATAACTGACTTCTCTATGGAAACAATGGAGGCCAGAACGAGAAGGTAAGTAGGAAAGTGTATATATATATATATATATATATATATATACACACACACATACTACTTTATATATAATACTTGTTAAATCATCAAAATAACCCTATAAGGTAGCTACTGTTATTATGACCATTTTAGTGATGAGAAAAGTGAGGCTCAAAAAAAGTTAATACCTTGTTCATGATCGCAGGACAAGTAAATGATGGAACTGAGATTTGAATCCTGGAGTTCTGGCTCCAAAGTCCATGCTCTTTGTATTGCTTCTGGATATGGTGGATTAGCTTGTATCAGATCAACTTCTTCACCAACCACAACTAGGAAAGCAAGTTTGAACAAAAAGAAAAGTTACCAGGGCACTGAAGACTTGAGAGGCCAAGATCACTAAGATAAAAGAAGTACATTGTGTGAACCTGATATCTGGTCACATTCTTCCCCTGCAGGCATTTGCAGATTTGTAAACCAATATCTGAGGGGCCCAGATGCTAAGTAGATATTCAGCAGTCTCCTGGGACTGAGGATTTTAAAAATGAGTTCTGGGATGCCAAAACATAGGAAATTTAGCAAACATCTCCAGCTTTCAGCTGGGATACCTGACAAGTTATAGCCTAAAACTAAGGGCTAACCTTACTTCTAGGATATGTTAAGAGATGAGCCATCAAAAGAGCTGAAACCCAGATTTAAACCATCTCAATCTAGATTAAGATGATCTAACTCTGACCTCAAGTAAAAGCAAACCCCCTCTGAAGGAAGATAACATGTAAGCTCAAATTTCCACCATAATTTTTTATCCGCAATGTCCATCATTCAATCAAAAGTTACCAGACTTACCAGGAGACAAAACCAAGTGACCAAAAACCAGAGAAAGACCAAATAATAAAAACAGACTTACAGGTAATTCATATACGAGAATTAGCAGAAACAATTTTAAATGAACTATCATCAATACATTTAAGAAAACAAATTACAAGTAGAAAATTTTCAGTGGCGAACTAGAATCTATCCAAAAAATCAAATAGAAATTTTAAAACTGGAAAATATAATGAATGAAATTAAGAACTGGATAGACGGGTTTAACCACAAAGTAAACACAGCTGAAGAGAGGACTAGAAAACTAGCTACTAATAGGACTGAAACAAAGGGAGAAAAAATAGAAAATACGGAAAGGAAATGAAAGATATGAACAAAGTGAAAAGGCACAAAATATGTGTAATTTTCCCATAAGGGGAGAAGAGAGAAAACAGAGCAAAAGCAGTATTTGAAGAGATTGATTATTGACTAAGAATTTTTCAAAAGAAACAAAAAAACACAAGCTATGTATTTAAGAAATGTTAAGAAGCCTAGGCAGGGTAAATACCAAGAAAACTACATCCACACCTTTGGCACATCAAAGTAAGACTGCTGAAAGACAAGGCAAAGAAAAACCCTAAAAAACAGAGAGAAAAAGGAATATTATCTTCAAAGTAGTAACAACAGCAGCAACTGACTTCTCTATAGAAATAATGGAGGCCAGAACAACAAAGGATATCTTCAAAGTTTTGAAAGAAAATAATTGTCAACTTAGAATAATACATCTTGCAAAAAACATTCCTTAAAAATAAATGAAAATAAGACATTTTCAGACAAAAATTAAAATATTTAACCAACAGACCAACATCAAAAAGAAAAAAAAGACCTAAAGAAAGTCCTACAAAAAGGAAAACAATCCCAGATGAAATCGAAGATATTCAGGAAGGAATGAAGAGCAACAGAAAGGGTCAAAATGTATATAAAACTATAATGATTACATTGTCTATATAGAAAACTCCAAATAATCTACAAAAAAACGCTCCTACGGACTTCCCTGTTGGTGCAGTGGTTAAGAATCTGCCTGCCAATGCAGGGGACAAGGGTTCGATCCCTGATCTGGGAAGATCCCACATGTCGTGGAGCA